TCATTGAAGAGAGGTGCATAAAATTGTCACTTTTTTTATTATTAAACAAATTGTGAATATCTTACACTAAATGCTGTTTTAGGACCTCTTTCCAGAGCATGATACCATAGTCTCTTGAGACTGAAGGATGCCAATGAATGATAATGAATATCTTACAATATTAAAAATCTACAGTATAAAATTGTAATCTCCCTCCCCCCCAAAATAGTATACATTTCAGTATGTCTTCTGAAATGTTAATGAAGATTGTAATTGATGTGTGTTGAAATGCAACACCTATGGCAGATACCACTTTTACATTTACATCTAAATTTGGTGATAGCCCTACTCGATTTTGATGTTTGGTACAAAAATGCAGTAACATAAAATGATGAATAGTGAACCTGTTCAGAAAGACAAAAATAACACATAAAATAAGATTTGCTGTTTTGTTTAAAAAATAAGCCTATGTGCACCATATAATTAATTCAGCACAACTGCTCTATAGCTATTCCTTCTAGTATCTTGTCCTTTTTCGTGCTTATATTTGAGCTTAAAAAAGGTGCAGCTAGTTTAAGAGCCACAATTTATGTGCTACCTCCCCAAGCTGACGTAGAAACTTGGAAAAGATCCTGCTGCTTTAAAGCAGAGGAATGTCTCTTTTTTAGCAGAGACATTCTTGGTTCATATTCAAGCAACATCTGAAGTTCTTCTTGAAAGTTATTTCCAAAAATAATATATATTTAGAAACCCAGCATAGTAAGACATTTCCTGCCAGATGTGCTACCTGCACTGAGGCTAGGAATAGTTCATTTCTCTCTTTACTGACACTTCTATTGAATAAATATTCTCAATGGTTTGGAGCAGGTGTGAAATCCAGCAGGTTCTGACAGGTTCTGGAGAACCAGTAATGGAAATTTTGAGTAGTTCAGAGAACCAGCAAATACCACCTCTGGCTGGCCCCAGAGTGGGGTGGGAATGGAGATTTTGCAATATCCTTCCCCCAGGAGTGGGGAGAGAATGGGGATTTTGTAATATCATTCCCCTGGAGTGGGGAGGGAATGGAGATTTTGCAGTATCCTTCCCCTGCCATGCCCACCAAGCCACACCCACCAAGCCACACCACACCCAACAAACCACACCCACAGAACTGGTAGTAAAAAAAATTGGATTTCACCACTGATTTGGAGCCAACTTTATCCTTGATAGAAATTGCCATTTAAAAAAATCTATGATTCTTAACTCACTTTCCTACCAAGAGATGGACAAACCTGTATTTGAAAACCCTTCAAAGGTGTAGCTGTAAGAAACAAAACAAAAAAACACAGACATACAACTAGGGCTCCAAACTTGGTTTCCATTGAATAAGCAAAATTCCTTTACTCATCAAAACCTAGCCCCAAATGGAAGGATTTCTGTGGGATCCTTGAAATTCTCTGAACTTGATTGTTTTCTTGCAGATAACAAAATAACAGAGTTGGAAGGGACCTTGGAGGTCTTCTAGCCCAACCCCCTGCTCAGGCAGGAAACCCTATACCATTTCAGACAAATGGTTGTCCAATCTCTTCTTAAAAACTTCCAATGTTGGAGCATTCACAACTTCTGGAAGCAAGTTGTTCTACTGATTAATTGTTCTAACTGTCAGGAGATTTCTCCTTAATTCTAGGTTGCTTCTCTCCTTGATTAGTTTCCACCCATTGCTTCTTGTTCTGCCTTCGGGTGCTTTGGAGAATAGCTTGACTCCCTCTTCTTTATGGCAACCCCTGAGATATTGGAACACTGCTATCATATCTCCCTTAGTTCTTCTTTTCATTAAACTAGACATACCCAATTCCAGCAACCATTCTTTATATGTTGTAGCCTCCAGTCCCCTAATCATCTTTGTTGTCCTTCTCTGCACTCTTTCTAAAGTCTCAACATCTTTTTTATATCATGGCGACCCAAAACTGGGTGCAGTATTCGAAGTGTGGTCTTACCAAGGCATTATAAAGTGGTATCAACACTTCATGGGATCTTGATTCTATTCCTCTGTTAATGCAGCCTAGAACTGTGTTAAGTAATATCAGTGGTAGAAGGATTTTTCCCCGCCACTGTAGAGAGCACCAACATGAAGACACTAATGAGACCTTCCTCATGTTCCTTGTAAAGTTTCTCTGATAACAGAGGGTGGAGTGAAGAACTTCTCCACCAAATTCTACCACCCAAACTGATTGCTAGAGAAGAATGTAACCCCACACTGATTCCCAGTAATTCAAAGAAACAAGAGAATTGCTACTGCAATCTACTTGAAATGTTTCTGCCAGTTCAGCTCAGAAAGAGCTACTGTAAATAGACCCAAGTCTCCACAGAAGAAGACAGAAAAGCCCTGAGGATAATTTCCAAACTTCTTTCTTCAACAGTCTTCTGTTCTTTTCCCATAATCTTCTCCCTGTGGTCCTTCAACAAAGACCTACTCTTTCAAAACCAGTAACTTTGCAGTTGCTATGTCTGTATATAAAGTCCAACCACGTCCGTTGGAAAGGATTGACAATATTCCCTTTCTTCTTAATCTCACTTTTTGGGGGTGATTATCAAGGAACAAGGTATCTCATGAGAAAGCCACACAGCTGAAAATTGCTTCATGTACAAATGCTTTTGTGCGAGGTTCACTTTTGTTGTTCAGTCGCTAAGTCGTATCTGACTCTTCGCGACCCCATGGATCAGACTCCCCTGTTCTCCATTGTCTCCTGCAGTTTGTTCAAATTCATGTTCATTGCATCAGTGACACTGTCTAACCATCTCATCCTCTTTTCCTTTGGCCTTCCATCTTTCCCAACATCAGGGTCTTTGCCAATGATGCCTCTCTATTCATTTGGTGGCCAAAGTATTTCAGCTTTAGTTTTGGTATCTGAGGTTCACTTTTGGCTATATTTATATTAGAAACATGAGGTAGCTAAAACCCACTAAGAAAAAAATAGTAAAACAACATATTCATTTGAAACCAGAAATATTCTTGTTGGGTATTATACCGGATAAGTACAATAAAAGGAATGCATATTTGATTTTACTTGTACTGACTGCAGCTAGAATTGTATTTGCACAATAATGGAAAAGTGAAGAAATCCCAACAGATGAAAATGTGATTTTAGAAATATTAGAATGTGCAGAAATTGATAGGCTTACAATTAAGGAAAAGAAAGAAACTGAATACTTTTTGACCTGGGACTTACTTTACCAATGGTTAGATGATAAAAACAGGCGTTAGAAACAGGGAAATATAAGCAAAGGATCAGTGATATAAAGGAGGTATATTAAAATGGTTAAGTAAACATCATCATCATTATTAATATTATTACAATCAATACTAATGTAACAAACACTGTTGTAAATATTTTGATTACTATTTCCTAAAACTATTTGTATTCAGACAACACACTGTTTAATTGAAAAAGGAATTTTTATATGTTATGAAATAAAAAACTTGGGGGTAAAAAAGAAAGAAAACTCATGAGATTAAATTCAAGAGAGAGCAGGAGTAGTTTTTATTTCTTGTGATATGAATATTTCACCATTAAAATCATGGGCACTCCAAAAGCAAGGTAAGAAAATAGTTCATAATATAGCTAACGGCAAGCCACCACATACTAATTAATGGATTCTAAGCCTTCAATCCTAAATTAGTTCCACACCGATAAAATAATGATGGTCTTACCGACATTAGTACAGAGTTTGGGGGAGCTGTGTCATAGCTGTTACATGTTGTTCTGCCCCAGCTACGGACCCCAAAGAACGCAGCACACACAAAGTCCATTCAAACCTTAATTTACTGAATAAACCAGTCTTTTATAACAACCAGTCTTAACAGCTGTCAAGAATTCAAAGAATAATAACTGAAAGCTTACCATGGTTGGCAGAATGCCCAGAAGCAATTTGCAGGAAGCTGATAAGATAAGCAAGACAAGACACGAAAGTATGTGACCGAAGTTGTTCCCTGCAAATTGCTTCAGTCAGCATTCCTCCTTAAATAGGCTAAGGGAGTGGCCAATTATCCCCAAGCCTTACTCTCGGGGAGACCTCCTCCTGAGGAGCCACTCCTGCCTTTTGGCAGCTCTGTGCACCCGTGCATCGAGAAGAGGCTCCTCCTCTTGTCCTCTTCACTTAAGGGATCTTCTGGAGGTTCTCAAGGCCCTGGCTGAATCCCTGCCTCTGGCACCACATCTTCTCCAGCCTCCTCATTGTCCGACTCGAGTGCCAGCTGCATAGGCTGCTGGCGCAGCACCACACCAGCCTCCTCACTGTCTGAATCAGCTACTAGCTGCACAGGCCACGTACGGGCCACAACACATGTTCATTTTGTATGGGTGATCTTCCTTCCCTCATTCTTATGCTTCCTTCAAAGGGTGTGCCTGCTTTCCCTCAAGATCTGCAAGCAGAGACCACTAGAAACACAGCTTCAAAGTGTTTCCAGAATGAAGCCGCTGGCTATCTTTCCCAATAGGTCCACAGACCCTAGTGACTTCTGCCTGAGTTGTTATCTAAACATAGTTACTTCTAGACAACATGATTAAGTCAGTATGCTGTGTTTTCACAACTTTCGTATCAGGTAGCTCCAGTAGAATGTCCCTCCTTTCCATGAAAATCAACTGTTGTATACTGAGAATCCTTCAAAAAAACTCAGAGCAAAGAGAAACCAAGGGAAATAATGTACCTTTGGACAATCATATCTGATATTTTGAGAAATTTCCTGACAGTTAGAACAATTAATCAGTGGAACAACTTGCCTCCAGAAGTTGTGAATGCTCCAACACTGGAAGTTTTTAAGAAGAGACTGGACAACCATTTGTCTGAAGTGGTGTAGGGTTTCCTGCCTGAGTAGGGGGTTGGTCTAGAAGACCTCCAAGGTCCCTTCCAACTCTGTTATTCTATTCTATTCTCCCTATTTTCTGGGTGCTACCCTTTTAAGTGGGGATTTCTTAGTTGAAGAATTTCGTTACATTATTCTCATGTCTCTCTCTCTCTCTTTTTAAATCTCCTTTTCTCAGGCATGGATTTGTAGAAGAATTCCATATACTAAAGAGGAGAATAATAAAAAAAAGTTGTGTCATCTCTGGGAAGTGAGAAGAAATGCCTCCTGTAGGAAGATACTTGATCACTTCCATCTTGGCGCTACTTCTTCTCTGGGGTGGAGAGAAGATTAAAGCTCACAGGGCAGGTAAGTACCGGTATTGGTGACAAGAAATTTTCATTTAAGAGGGGCTTTACTTGGGATCTTATAAAAAAAAAGTTCTGAAAATTACAGCAGGCAATACACATAGAGATGTTCTATATCTTCAATTTACAACAATTCCTTTAGTGCAAGGGTCCTCAAACTATGGCCCGGGGGCCGAATATGGCCCGCCAAACCCATTAATCAGGCCCGCGTAGGACCATGAGGCTGCTCCGCCCACATCACTCCACCTACCCGCTGGCTCCCACCCGCCTTCTGGAGGCTGAGGCCAAAAACGGGATGCGTGGAGGCCTCACGAGGCCAAAAATGGACCCATTTTGGGCAACAGAGTGGTACTGGAGTGGTACTATTACCCTCCCCAGTCTCCAGAGAGAGAGAGAGATGGAGGGAGGGAGGGAGAGAGAGAGACACACACAGGGGGGAGGGAAGGGGGAGGGAGACACCCCCCACCCCCCACCCCCCCACATACACACAAACAGAAGTCCCTCACCTGCCCCCAAGGCAGCCACATCCCTTCACTAACCTGTTTTCCACCCCCAGGAGCATAACAAATTAAAGTTTAATTTGTGTGTATTGTTTAATGGACTGCTAAATTGGCCACGCCCATCCAGTCACATGACCACCTAGCCACACCCAGCCAGCTGGTCCCGCCCCCAACAGTCTGAGGGACCGTGAATTGGCCCCCTGTTTAAAAAGTATGAGGACTCCTGCTTCAGTGACTGTTCGAAGTTACTGGAAAAAGTGGTTTTTCACACTTAATAACTGTTGCAGCATCCCCATGGTCACGTGGTCGAAATTCAAATCTTAGCAATGCATAAAGATGATATAGAAAGTACGTTCAATTGAAAATGACATATATATTTATAAATACGATAAAACTTGTTAAAGGATAGACATAATTAACATCGATTTAATCTATTCTTCATATATGTAGTATGAAGAATAGATTAAATCGATGTTAATGAAGAACAAAAATAGAATATAGTAAAAGATACTATATATTTAAAGATGTACGTAAAATGTATAAAATAATAGGCCATAGATTGGAATTATGAAATTTGAATTGTTACCGATAGTTGAAAACTGAAAAAATAGAAATATGCTTTTAAAACTAAAAAAGGTTGAATGAAGAGTATTAAAAAAAAAAAATCAAATGCTTGGCAACTGGTCCATATTTATGGCGGTTGCAGTGTCCCAGGGTCATGTGATCCCTTTTTGAGACCTTCTGACCAACAAAATCAGTGAGGAAGCCAGATTCGCTTAACAACCCTGTTGCCAATTTAACAAGCGCAGTGATTGGCTTAGCAACTGTGGCAGGAAAAATCTCAAAATGAGGCAAAACTCACTGAACAACTGCCTCGCTTCACAACTGAAATGTTGGGCTCCATTGTGGTTGTAAGTCGAGGACTACCTGTTTGGCCTCAGCATTATTTATTGCTCTTGAGCAGTGGTGAAATCTAAAATTTGTTACTACCGGTTCTGTGGGTGTGGCTTGGGGGGGTAATGTGACTGGGTGGGCGTGGCCAATTTTGTTTTTTTACTTTTAAAACCATTTTTTCTACAACTTCTTCGGTGAAGAAGTTGTAAAAAAATGCTTTCAAAAGGCTCTGACGATCCCAGCTGAGTTGCCTGATCAGCAGAGGCTTTTTTTCTTTTAAAAGCCTTTGACGATCCCAGCTGAGCCGCACGATCATCAGAGGCTTTTTTTTTTAACTTTTAAAAGCATTTTTTCGGCCAAAGAGGTTGTAGAAAAAATGCTTTTAAAAGTTAAAAAAAAGCTTCTGAGGATTGTGCGGCTCAGCTGGGCAATGGGGGGGGGGCAGGAATTTTTGCTACCGGTTCTCCTAACCACCCGCCTCCATCGCTACTGGATCGGGCGATCCGGTCCGAATCGGGAGCATTTCACCCCTGCTCTTGAGCGAAGAACATATGCTCTGCTTAGATGCACCAATTGGAAATATTGAAAAAGCATTTGTTTTTGTTTTTTTCATAAATTCATTTCATTTCATTTTTCATCAATTCCATTTATGGGAGCAAAGTGAAACTGTCTCTGCTGCTTAAAAATGGAGAATAACTTCCTACTTTAATCGGCCACTTTTGAAATCATTGCTGAATACAGAGTACCAGAGTTGGAAGGGACCTTGGAGATCTTCTAGTCTAGCCCCATATTGTGTGTGAAGCTCAGGGTGGCCTCTTTGTTAAATCGTTCCAAAACACCAAGGTTTGAAAGAAAGAAAGAAAGAAAATATCCAATTTGATTTGATGGATGACATTTGGCAGATCGGATTCTTTCAGTGATTCAGTTCAAAGGGTTGTTTGGAAAAGACGATTGGGTCGAATTGTTTTCAGATCCATTTTGCAGCTTGCCAAATTCTTCTAGAAACGCTTGCTCAAAGTGAGAGTTTCATCAAGGACTTTCGCATGAATATCCTAGCTGAACGCCACTGAACATGACAAGACTTGCTTGGAGAAGAATGCTTGCAAATACCGTTGTAGCTCTCACGTACTAGCTACACAACCCCTGCAATTTTGAAGCATTTTTTGAAATGAATAAAATTACAGATTAACAGAGTTGGAAGGGACCTTGTAGGTCAACTAGTCCAAGCAGGAGACCTTACACCATTTCTGACACATGGCAGTCTAATCTCTTCTTGAAAGTCTCAAGTGATGATGCTCCCACAACTTCCTAAGGCAACTTCTGTTCCATGGGTTGATTGTTCTCACTGTCAGAAAATTTATCCTTATTTCTAGGTTGAATCTCGCCTTGGTCAGTTTCCATCCATTATTCCTTGTCTGGCCTTCAGGTCTTTGGAAAATAGCTTGATTCCTTCCTCTGTGGCAGCCCCTCAAATATTGGAAAATTGCTATCATGTCTCCCCTGGTCCTTCTCTTCGCTAGACTAGCCATGCCCAGTTCCTGCAACTGTTCATCGTATGTTTCAGCTTCCAGTCCCCTAATCATTTTGGTTGCTCTTCTCTGCACTCTTTCTAGAGTCTCAACATCTTTTTTATAGTGTGGTGACAAAAACTGGATGCAGTACTCTAGGTGTGGTCTTATTAAGGCTTTATAGAATAGTTTTAGTTTGTTTTAATCTTGGAGCTAAATTATTGATTCATATAAAGGATATGTCCAATCTCAGTCATCCCTAGCAAGACTTCTGATGTGATAAACATTCATCCTGCTATTTATTTATTTAAATTGGCTGCCTGACTTTGGGCAGTAGAAAACAACGACAAATAAAATAGAAGAATACAAAGAGCTCATGAAAGAGATATCCAGAAAAAGAACACCCAGCTATACAGGTAGTCTCAATTAATGACCACAATTGAACCCAAAATTTCCACTGGTAAGCAAAATAGTTGTTAAGTGAGCTTTGCCGCATTGTACAATCTTTCTTGCCACCGTCGCTAAGTGAATCACTCCATCGTTAAGTTAATACAATGGCTGTTCAGTGAATCTGACTTCTCCATTGACTCTGCTTGTCTCAAGGTCACAAAAAAGGGATCATGTGATCCCAAGACATTGCAACTATCATAAATATGAGTCAGTTGCCAAGCATCCAAATTTTGATCATATGGCTATAGGGATGCTACATTAGTTGTAAATGTGAAAAATTATCATAGATCACTGTTTTCACTGCTGTTGTGACTTTGAATGGTCACTAAGCAAATGGTTGTAAGTTGAGGACTATCTGTACTTCAAAAGCTACTTTCCTACCGGGATCCACCAACTAGTCTAGAACAGGGGTCTCCAACCATGGCAACTTTAAGCCTGGCGGACTTCAACTCCCAGAATTCCCCAGCCAGCTGATATGATAACCGTTTTCCAATATCTGAGGAGCTGCCACAGAGAGGAGGGGATCAAGCTGTTTTCCAAGGCACCTGAAGGCCAGACAAGGAATAATGGATGGAAACTGACCAAGGAGAGATTCAACCTAGAAATGAGGAGGAATTTTCTGACTGTGAGAACAATCAACCAATGGAACAGAAGTTGCTTTCGGAAGTTGTAGGGGCTTCATCACTTGAGACTTTCAAGAAAAGATTGGACTGCCATTTGTCACAAATGGTGTAGGGTCTCCTGCTTGAGTGGGAGGTTGGACTAGATGATCTATAAGGTCCCTTCCAACTCTGTAAATCTGTTAAAAACTGTGGAAGGCAAATGTTATAGTGCCTCCATTCCAGTACAAATGGAATTCACACCCAGCTAAATTTATGGTCTATTTGTTGAAATACATGTTTCTGAGGACATAGTTTGTAAACCCATATTTAGCTACTGCATACTGAGTAATACATACAGAGGGGGAGAGATGCTTCTCCTGATAAAATAACGATTCTGAATATTTTTCACTCAGTGAGTCATCCACATGCCAGGTTTTGTTTTTAATCTTGTTTTCTGAAAACTTCTGACTGGCGTTTTTTAAAGAAACAAAACAACAACAGTTTTCCAGACTAATGATTAATAAAATATAACAGCCCTGGTTAAGAGAGAATATGTAGAACTGTGGAAACAGCGTGACTGGGTCGAAGGCAGATAATCTGATATGCCCAGGCATTTTCAGCTTGTGGCATATTAAAGGGGAAAGGAAGGCGGGAGAACAGAGCATAGTCTGTTGGGAGTTTCTTTCTTTCTTTTTCTTTTTTTTTTTAAGTTGCCTCATAGACATGCAAACGGAGTAGACAAAGGGGGCTGAGCCAAAACAGCAGCCGCAAGGGAGAGAGAGAGAAGTTGGGGGGAGAGAAAGTTTGCAAAACACAGCAAAAAGCTGGATTCGGAACTCGTTTTAGACACCGCCATTAAGACGGGACCTCTAAGAAAATACTTAGCAGAGGGTCTTCCAGGTGAAACATGTTCAATGCTTTGGAGAAAGAAAGAGCCGCTGAGTCATTTGTTCAGGTAGACTTTGCTATGTTGGAGAGAAATGTCTATGAATCTTGCCCTTCTCCTAGCTGCCTTTCTCGCCCGTGTCTCAGGAGCCTCTCGTGTTTCCCTCGCAGGTTGTAAAAATGTTCACTATGACTTGATCTTCTTGCTGGACACTTCCTCCAGCGTGGGCAAAGAAGACTTTGAGAAGGTCCGCCAATGGATAGCCCACCTGGTGGACACTTTTGAGATCGGACCAGACAAAACCCGTGTTGGGGTCGTCCGGTACAGTGATCAACCAGCCACTGAGTTCGACCTTGGAAGTTATGGGACTCAGCAAGAGATCAAAGAAGCTGCAAAGGGCATCAAATACTACGGAGGGAACACAAACACTGGAGATGCCCTGCGGTACATCAATAGTTACAGTTTTTCCGCACAGGCCGGTGGGAGGCCAAATGATAACGCCATCAAGAAAGTTGTGATCCTCCTGACGGATGGCAGGAGCCAAGATTACGTCTTGAGTCCGGCCACGGCAGCGCATAAGGCCGGCATCCGGATTTTTGCGGTGGGTGTCGGGGATGCCCTTAAAGAAGAACTGGATGAAATTGCTTCTGAGCCAAAATCGGCCCACGTCTTCCATGTCTCTGATTACAACGCTATTGATAAGATACGGGAGAAGCTGAGAAGAAGGCTTTGCGAGAGTAAGTAAATAAACCATGGACCAAGAAATTGTGGGAAGGTGCATTGGTTGGTTTAATGAAGAGTAAGCCTATGAATTTTAGCGCTCTCTCTCAGTGTGGGAAAAGGACTGTGTTCCCAAAAGCCTCATCAGTAAAATTAGACCGTCCATTAGTAAATGTATTGCAAACTTCATGCCTTGGTTATTTATGTAGCCATTTAAAATGCCGAGTTTCCTTTCTGCAGGGAAACAAAGAGAAGTGTTGTCTATGGAGATTCTTAATCATCCAGGTCGTGGTTGTCCCAAAAGTGCTTTTTTCCAAAAAGCAATTGGATTTTCTTGGTGTTTTTTCTTTCTTTGAAAATGTTTTGCTTCCCATCCAAGAAGCTTCTTCAGTTCTGACTTCAGTGAGAACTGAAGAAGCTTCTTGGATGAGAAGTGAAATGTTTTCAAAGAGGAAAAAAAACCCCAAGAAAGTCCAGTTGCCTTTTTGGGAAATGCACCTTTGAGACAAACTGAAGTGTTTTGCTTCAAAGTTTAGAGAGAAATGTGCTATTTGTCATTATGGATACTTCTGGATATTCTTAACTGGGGAGAGCCCAATTTGGCTTTCTTTCTTCACCTTTCAGATTTTATCAGGATAAAGTTTGAGAAAATCTTCTTTTCAAGGAACTGACCAAAATATTAACAAGATTAAAGGCTTGAGGGAGAGTTGGCTGGATAATCTTCATGAGCTTTCACTTTGGATGTTATCCGTTGATTATATAATGGAGAGCATTGTAATTTGTATTTTTTTCTTTAGAAAGGAATAAGCACTGATATGACCGAGTAACAATTGAACAATAACACAAGTAGGTTCCTATAGTGAGTTTGCTCAGATACTTCCTTTTGGGTAATGTATGCTTGAAGTTAGAAGCTAGGAGATGTGAAGATGAGAACTTTTGTGTGGCATTTAAGGTAAAGGTAAAGGTTCCCCTCGGAAATACGTGCTAGTTGTTCCTGACTCTAGGGGGCGGTGCTCATCTCCATTTCAAAGCCAAAGAGCCAGCGCTGTCCGAAGACATCTCCGTGGTCATATGGCCAGCATGAGAAATGCCAAAGGCGCACGGAACGCTGTTATTTTCCCACCAAAGGTGGTCCCTATATTTCTACTTGCATTTTTTACCTGCTTTCGAACTGCTAGGTTGGCAGAAGCTGGGACAAGTAATGGGAGCTCACCCCATTACGCGGCACTAGGGATTCAAACCGCTGAACTGCCGACTTTTCGATCGACAAGCTCATTGTCTTAGCCACTGAGCCACTGTGTCCCTTTTTATTAGACTAGAAATACCCAATTCCTGCAACCATTCTGTATATGTTTTAAACCCCAGCCTTCCGCAGTCTTTCCAGAGTCTCAACATCATTATTATTATTATTAATTAATCTTTAGTGAGATTCACAGCCTTTGAGGTGGTCCCTATTTTACTACTTGCATTTTTTACGTGCTTTCGAACTGCTAGGTTGGCAGAAGCTGGGATGAGTCAGAGGAGCTCACCCAGTTACGCGGCACTAGGGATTCGAACCACTGAACTGCCGATCTTTTGATCGACAGGCTCAGCATCTTAGCCACTGAGCCACCGCGTCCCTCGGTGCGGCATTTAGAAGAGCCAATAAGATCTCCCCAGCCTTTACACCGTTCATGGGTATCTATCAGCTTATAGTTACAAAATCAAGATAGTGGCTGCAATGACATGATTGAAGCTCCACTTAGTTTTTCTCTGTTGTGCTTCATAACCTTTGAGCTAAAATTAATGTAGCACATAAAAAGTAAGCAGGGCTTTGTTCACACCATTGCAGACACCATCTTGGCTGGAGGCTAAAACATATGAAGGATGTTTCATATGTTTTCAGGGGACTGGAGGCTAAAACATATGAAGAACGGTTGCAGGAACTGGGTATGTCTAGTTTAATGAAGAGAAGGACTAGGGGAGACACGATAGCAGGGTTCCAATATCTCAGGGACTGCCACAAAGAAGAGGGAGTCAAGCTATTCTCCAAAGCTCCTGAAGGCAGGACAAGAAGCAATGGGTGGAAACTAATCAAGGAGAGAAGCAACCTAGAACTAAGGAGAAATTTCCTGACAGTGAGAACAATTAATCAGTGGAACAATTTGCCTCCAGAAGTTGTGAATGCTCCAACACAGGAAATTTTTAAGAAGATGTTGGAAAACCAACAAAGGGCCTGGTGGCTCAGCAGACTAAAAAGCATTGTGATTAACACCAGCTGCCTGCAATTACTGCAAGTTCGAATCTCACCAGGCTCAAGGTTGACTCAGCCTTCCATCCTTTCTAAGCTAGGTAAAATGAGGACCCAGATTGTGGGGACAATAAGCTGACTTTGTATAAATATACAAAAGTATGAAGGCTATTGCTTAACATCCTGAGTCTCCGGAGAAGGGCGGCATATAAATCAAATTAAAAAAAGAAAACATTTGTCTGAAGTGGTGTAGGGTTTTCTGCCTGGGCAGGGGGTTGGACTAGAAGACCTCCAAGGTCCCTTCCAACTCTGTTATTCTATTCTATTTTATTGGCTGTTTTGACCTCACCCTGCAGACCACTTTCATGCCACCGATAAACAACCATGCAGCTGCATGAAAACCGTAGCAAGTAGTTTGCTGGATAGGAATAATCCACGTTCTGTAGAAGCCTGCTGATGAATGGTGACCAGTGACAGAAACATCTCTAGGTTGGATCGTGGATGTTCTGCAGCTAAGCAGTTGATTGACAGACTGACAGTTTTATTGCACTTGGACAACTGTTTTCCTCATTGCAATAATGACTTGTGGTTTGACAGGCAGCCAGAGAAAGAAGGATTTAAAAAGAAAAGAATGTGTGAGGGTATGTGTGTATTTGTAGACGTTCATTCTCTTATGTGGCACATTCTGTGCTTCTGATCTACGTTAAGATAAAGGTAAAAGGTAAAGGTTCCCCTTGCACATATGTGCTAGTCGTTCCTGACTCTAGGGGGCGGTGCTCATCTCTGTTTCAAAGCCGAAGAGCCAGCGCTGTGCGAAGACGTCTCCGTGGTCACGTGGCCGGCATGACTCAATGCCAAAGGTGCACAGAACGCTGTTATCTTCCCACCAAAGGTGGTCCCTATTTTTCTACTTGTATTTTTTACGTGCTTTCGAACTGCTAGGTTGGCAGAAGCTGGGATGAGTAACGGAAGCTCCCCCCGTTACGAGGCACTAGGGATTCGAACCGCTGAACTGCCGAGCTTTCGATCGACAAGCTCAGCGTCTTAGCCACTGAGCCACCGCGTCCCTCTTTGATCTACAATATGTTCAGTTTAATCCAGGGATCAACAGGTGGACAATTAGAGCCAGATTTTAGTTGATTAGCATGTTATCCAGATCTCATGTGACTCTGTACTTTAATCAAAGTTAACAACTTTGCCTGATATTTTTAAAACCAATAAGTCTTGAACCTAAATTTGTTTTAAACTCCCTTTGCATACCTAGTAGTGAGTAAATTGGATTGTCCGGCTAATTAATGTCCCTTACTCCTTTCCGTAGTGCAGCACGTTGCTCCTTTTGAAGCTGCTTTTGTTATTTGTGTTAGTTAAAATTACTGGGTTTATCCAGGGTCCTGAACTCTCCTTAGACCTCAAGAAGTTATACCCAAAGGCGAAACTTCCTACGGTACTCTCAAGCTACATGAAAATCTCCAGATGTTACACAATGGTGAGCCTGACTGACATTCTCATTTGATCGATGTCACACTTCGGTTGTGATAATACATCACTCTATGTTGGCGTTTACAACTCGAAGAGAGGAAAATAATAACCTTCTAGGGAATCCGGCATTACACATGAAAGGAAAATTATTTGCTGTCTTCTCACACACAATGATTCTGTCAAATATAATGATAACTCTACTTGCAATGCAGCTTGAATGCAATACAACAAGACGTAACTGTTTTATCATTTTTCTCCCAAAAAGAATTGCAGCTTTTTTCTTTAAAATCCTTAATGATGTTACGGTCGTTGCTTTGGAACTTCATTTCAAGAAGTGATGTTCCCCCTCTGAACTGACTTTGTCTCCAGTGACATTCATATTTATCAAAACCTGAATATGTCTCATAGCGTAGTATTCATCTTATTTTTATGAGATAGAGAGGGGGGAAAAATTCTAGTCTATTATTTTCTGAATATGAGAAAAGATTTAATACTGTCTCCACCAAAACCAGGTAATACTTTCAAACGTATTGCTCTTTCTTCTAAATCTGTTTAAAATGTATACAGGCACTCCTTGACTTAGAACAGTTCATTTAGTGACCATTAAAGTTACTGAAAAAAGTGATTTATGACCAGGGGTGAAATCCAGCAGGTTCTGACAGGTTCTGGAGAACCGGTAGCGGAAATTTTGAGCAGTTCAGAGAACCAGCAAATACCACCTCTGGCTGGCCCCAGAGTGGGATGGGAATGGAGATTTTGCGATATTCTTCCCCCAGGAGTGAGGAGGGAATGGGGACTTTGCAGCATCCTTCCCTGGAGTGGGGTGGGAATGGAAATTTTGCAGTATCCTTCCCCTGCCATGCCCACCAAGCCACACCATGCCCACCAAGCCAGGCCCACAGAACAGGTAGTAAAAAAAAATGGATTTCACCACTGCTTATGACCATTTCTCACACTTACGACCGTTGCAGCATTCCCATGGTTCACAAAATCAAAATTCAGACATTTGGTAACTGATTCATATTTATGATTATTGCACTGTCCCGGGGGGGGGGGGGGTCATGTGATCAGCTTTTGTGACCTTCTGACAAACAAAATGTACGGGGAAGCCAGATTCACTTAACATGTTATTCACTTAACAGCTGCTATGATTCACTGAACAACAGTGGCAAAAAAGGTCACAAAATGGGGCAAAACTCACTTAGCAATTATCTCACTTAGCAACATCAATTTTGGGCTCGCTTGTGATTGTAAGTCAAGGACTACCTGTCAGGGTTCCAAGTAATACACCCATAGCAAACAGAACTC